CCTAACATCTAAGGAAAGAAGAGCTTAGATTGGTACCAGATAAAATAGTTTTGTTATCAACGTTAATACATTATGCTAATTTTCATCTTTGTAAGCGCATAAGACAGTGCAAATTATTTCTGTGACAGTCTTTTGAAGTGTGTAAAGCTCCATTTTATCCCATACATAGATAAAATATTGGTGGGGGGGGGGATGATACAATGGACCATCCCCCTCTTGTCAAATATTGGGGGATATATATCCCCATCCCCCCGGGATCTACGCCTATGTTCATTAGTGTATTAAAATATTATCTATTCTACTTACACTGTAACATGTATGTCTAAAACAATGAATAGATCAGGGGAGAGAATACGAATAATTTCTATATTCATTACTAAATTGTGAACATTGGCACATACCAAACGATTAGTCCAATAAATTAAGCAATCGATCAGTTATTTTGTAAGACGCACATGCGTGCATAATGGGAAGATACTTCATTCTGGTAATCGACCTTCTTTACGCTGACATTATGTGGAATCAATGTCCAAGGGGTGGGCGCAGAAAGGTCCATAAAACTTTGACACTAGTCACCACCTTACCCATATCCTGTCCGCAGATCTACGACATTGTGGGAAAGGGAGGACTCAGACACTGACAAATGATATGAGAAGAGCCATGGTCTTTTGTAAACAAGGACCGTATTTTGGTCGAAGTTGTACATTATAAGTAACCACTTACGACTTGTTTGTATAACCACTTTGCAAAAGTCTAATATTTACTGTTGTGTGTTTGTATGTGTTGTGGCATCTGTTTTCATTTGAATTGGTGAACATTGTGGTACTTAAGATTTTCAAAGTGAGATCAATCACTGCACTAGAAATTCTTGATGAAAAGTTTTCTAACGAAGAAGTGGCATACACTTTGCCACCCAAAGAAAATTTCCAGTACCATCCGTGAGAAAAAATAAAGTAGTAAATTGAGCCTATATGATAAAAACATAAAAAATATAAATTTTGTTGCATTACGGAACTGGCACATGCGCATACATGCCAAAGTGCAGGCAAGACGTGTAGAGGATTCGTCAATTTTATTGAATAATTTTGACGCAATTCAGTGCAATGCTGCAATGTCAAATTGTATTGTTTTAATATAAAACCAGAATGAATGAATGAATTTTTTAATTTTAAAAATTCAATGAACTGCATTAAATTGGATCAAATAATTTATCAATTAACAATGAGACACCGATAGAAACAATTCAATATTCGCTGACGCATATTATCAAAGATAATAAAAACACAAGATAGAACTCTCGCGTAGCAAAAGTGAAGCGGAAATACGTCATAACTTTTAAACATCCACAGACGTACGTGGTGCCCTTCCGTTTTCCGATAAAAAAAAAAACAATTTAACGCAAGTTACGAAGGTTTGTTCGGCTGGGGATATACAAACTACTTACTTTAGTACCCCTACCCATGCCCACCATGCAGTGTATACGTCTGTGGCCACTTTCATCTTGTGTTTCTAGTATCTTTGATATTATGATAAACCCCCTGATATCAGCTCATACAAGCAATTTTATTTAGAAGCAAATATATTTGAGGTTTAGGCGAAGAAGAAGAACAGTATAATTTGTGAATCTGTTTAATAGCATGGTGGAAAATAAAATTTTCTCATTTTAACTTTCATTAAAAACTTAACTAATTATACAAAGTAAGCAATCTAAAATTTGATTTTTTTTGTTCAAGATAATAGCTTAAAACATAAACCTGAAAAATATGTATATATGCATAATATATGTATATATATGTATATATATATATATATATATATATATAT